ACGAGGTCACACCAGATCACGCACAACACATCCTGAAGAAACCGACTGCCCGGTTCGCTCTGCGGTGGGACGCTGGCTGCGACTACCAAAGGACACTCCCCTGGGCTACTTCCATGTCAACGTCAAAGATGGAGGTTTGGGGGGGGGTCCCCTGCTTCTCCACCTCAATCCCACTTCTGCAGAAGACCCGGCCTTCATTGTACCCCACCACGGTGTTTGACATCCTGCAACAAGATGCCTTTCGCTCCATGCGGTGGAAGCTTAACAAGCCGTGCAAACTGAACTCTATACAGTCGTCACCAGAAAAGCGAAAGTACAAGCTGAGTGGAGGAATCTGCTCTTGAAATCTATCAGTGGCCGAGAGCAGAGTATCCCAAATGTTGACACAGCCAGTCATGTGTGGCTGTTGTTCCCCCCCCAGGTGTTCCCCCACCTGTACTTATTGGACATCCAGCTGAGGGGCCTCCTACTCCACACTAAGTCAAGGAGGGCACAGGACACTTGCTGCCAAGTCACCGACAAGTGCCACACAGGAGCCTGCCGTGCCCCCCGAAACCGTCAAAGGTCCTGCATGTCTGCGAACTCACCCACGATGCAAGATGTGCACGGCACAACTGTGTACTTCAGTGCCTTGAACAGCTCCTGTGCAAGAAAGCATCTACTCCTGGTGGAACCCATCATCCCATCCGGTTCATCTTTCATCAAACAGGACCTGATTGTGCACAGAATGAACCCGCTACGAGTCCTTGACATCTCCATGGTCACCGGCTACTGGGTGAGAGAGGCCCAGGACTTCAAAATTGCAAAATATGGATGTCCTGCCCGTATCGCCAACCTTCGTCATTGGGCTAAAGCTTCCGCTTCTGTTCTGGTACACCATCTGCCCATCATAATCTCCAACCAGGGACTGTTCTACGACTCATCGGGTGGTGGACGGTGCGCAGGGACATTACGGACCTGTGTTTACTCACCATCGGCGGCTCACTCAAATGCTACCACCTCTCTATGCCTGGAACCAAGGCTGGGTGTTCCTGAACCGTAAGAATACACCTGTGATACAGTATATGAGCTGCCTGGTGGTCCTCCTGCCAGATCCCACTGTTGTCCTCACTGCCCTCCTCCTGCAGGGTCTTTGTGGTCAAGGAGGCTGATAGCCGGGTAGCTCGAAAGGCTGCACTGGACACCTAATTTCTGCAGATAAGCAATCTGTCCAAGTAGACTAATAACTTCCTTACAAAGAGGACAGTATACAAATTTAAAAAGAGTACCATAAAAGACAGCTGCAAAACAAGTATTGCGGTGAACTAAGCCAGGCATCCTAAAATAAAATTGCCATCCCAGAAGCGCTTAACAGGGATGAGCTACTGCTGGGTTAGATTTTCAGTTATATGATTCGTGCGCAGTTAAGTGTGTGGGCCGCTAACTTGGTCCACTGGAGTTTGTCTCAGTCCCCCTGAACTCACAGTGAGCACCTTTCCCAGCAGCCTCTGGTGCTATGCAAATGCAATGCAGATGTAACCAGCGACTCTGACATGGCTGTCTAGCAGCGAAGCACATTGCCTTAGAAGGTTGACTTGTGAGGGGAAGAAAGGTTTGTGTTAAACTGTTTGTTTTCCTGTATGGTTGACCCATCTAATAATAAAATGTTAGCTTGCCAAGTTTGGAGACCCTGCTTTAACATTCTCTCAAGTGTCTTGGGAATTCCCCCCCTCCCGCAAATAGATCAGGGGTGAGCAGTTAATTTTCCCAAGGGGACCACCTGAGAAACTGGAACCGTTGTGGAGGGCCACCCCCTCCATGCTGCCACCGCCCTGCCCCCTGCCACTACCCCACCCACAGCAACACCCCACTTCCACCAATGCCACACATCTCCCCCCACACAGCAGCACCACTGCTCTGCCCTCTGCTGAGACCTCTCCCCCTCTGCCGACACCCCGTCACGCTACCGATGCACAGATTCTAATGCTGCAGGCCAGACTGGGACTGCCTGCATGCTGGATGTGGCCCGCAGGCCATAAAAATGCCCAGGTCTGGTACAGATGTACAACTCTCCTGGCAGAGAAGGCTGAGAACCTGCAGAGATACGCTGAACCCTTTGAAGCCATCCTTAACTATCATTTATTAACGATGAGGCAACAGACAAGGTGGCCCAGGCTGATACCATCAGTGCCAAGGAGGACCACTGGTAGCAGCTGGACCCGTGAAAGCTGCCAGCCAGCTCTCCAGTGGCAAAGCCTGAGGGGCAGGTGCCACACCTGCCGAGATTTACAACATTGGTGGCACTATATTCATGGAAAAACTTACCTGAGTCATTCTAGTTTTTTCAAAAGCAAAGATCCATTCCTCAGGAACTCAAAGACGCATCCGCTATACACTTCTACGGGAGGAAGGACAAACAACACCTCCGCAACAACCACTGAGGAATCTCGCTGCCCTTCAACCCAGGAAAAACTCTTGCAGGTTTTTTTTTCTGGTCACACACCTGAAGCTGTACCTGTTGCCAGAGTCCCAGTGCGACTTCCACAAAAATTCTGGGGTCGTTGACATAAATTTTGCCAAGCACCAACTTCAGAAGAAAAGTCAGGAGTAGAATTGTGAACTCTGTACAATCCTTGTTGACCTCACCAAAGCCTTCAATGCATGTCAAGGACACCCAACAAATTCATCCAGAGGGTGTGCCTGTTCCTGGATGGCCAACGGGTGCTGGATGGTGGAGAATCGTCCCAGGCATTCCCAGTCTCCAATGGTGTTAACTGGGCGCTGTGCTGGCACCCACACTGTTCAGCATGATGTTTACTTCCACGTCTTACGAAGCCTTTCGGGACAGCCATGCTGGAATCCGCCTCAACTACAGAATGGACAGGAAGCTCTTCAATCTGAGAATGTTGATTATTCATTCAGTCACGTCCGACCGCAGGTCTCTCCCCGTCTTCTGATATTGCACTACTTCTCTGAGTTTTTCTATGCTCCGGTGGGCGTCAGCTTTGACGGTATCTTAGCTCTTCAACCTAGGAGACTTCAAACTGTCACCAAAGTGAAGGAAATTGTACTAGGGGGCTTCCTCTCTGTCAAATGCCTGTCACTATGGACAATTCTCTACGGTTTGTGTCCACTTTGGACTCAACATCAACATTCAAAGACCAAGCACCAGCCTGCTCCTCACGCAACACATAAAGAAACCACAATCACAATCGAAAGGCAGTTCAGGCCACTTGAGTGCCCTCGGCTACTCGTGTCCCGAGCAGTGACCGCCGAGACCGAACTGAATTGCACAAGAGCCAAGTTGTGCTTTCGGTGGGCTGTGCTTGGGGAATCCACCCAGCAACAAAACTGAAGGTCTGCAGAGCTGTGGGGGTCATTTTCTTTCTGTGTGCCTGTGGGACACGGATGGTGTGTCAGGCCCGCAAAACAGCTCAGCCACTTCCACCTGGCTGCTCTTCGCAGAATGCTGGGCATCAGATGGCGAGATGAAGCAGCAGAGACCGAAGTCCTCCCAAGAGCAGGCCTACCATCTGCCCACATGTAGCTGGTGAGAGCACAGACTGGTGGGGGGCTCATGCCACCCACGTGCCAGACAAGAGCATATCCAAGCAGCTTTTTTTAAAAAAAAACAAAACACTCAGATGGAGGGGAGAAGAAATTCCACAAAGACACTTAAAGGCCTCCCTGAAGTTGTTGGACACAGACACAACACCCTGGGAAGCGCTGGCATGGAAGCATCCTAGCCGGCACGGCCTCATCCACAAGGGCTGTCAAACCTACAGAGTAAAGCGCACTGTGGAAGCACAACGTGTGAGCTGTCTAGAGCTAACAATAAAACAACTGTGGTGCCTACACATTTTTCCCTTGCCCAACATGTGCCAGGACAGGGGTCTGTGGCCCGGTGCTGAACCACAACCCATTCGGAACCGGGCCGTGGACGTGATGGGTGAGTACGTGTGCACAAAGCTGCATTTGTGAAAGTGGCACACCCAAACACAACCATCCCCTCTCCCCACCCCTCTGCCATTTCCAACGGTCTGCCGAGCTGTGCCAAGACATTCCGTGTGGCTGGAAACCGCCCCCCCCCCCAAATTCAGTTTTAACATGACTAATAGTGTTGAGATCTACATCGGCAACGATGAACGAACAACAACCACACAGAGGTAGTATCAGTTTCTCTTCACTTCGCTATTCCTTGAAACACTCGATTCGGCCAGGGCTGCCACCCGTGTTAACAGACACGTCCATGGGGTACATCTAGGGCAGGGGTCTTTTATGACTGGTGGACTTCAACTCCCAGAATTCCTGAGCCAGCCATGCTGAGGGGAAAGGGAGAGGTTTCCAAGCTGAGCCAGGCTGGCTCAGGAATTCTGGGAGTTGAAGTCCACGAGTCATAAAAGAGCCAAGGTTGCCTACCCCTGGTCTAGGGCAACAGCCTGGAATACCCATTGTGCCAAGAGACGCGATGCACTTCGAGGCTGCCCCAAAAGATATTCCTTCCATTTTATTATAAAAAGCAAAGTGCCCACCCTGCCCACCTGCGCTCCCTGGAAGCCGAAGGGTCTGGTTTAAATCAAGTCACGTGATACACACAGTGATGTCATTCCCCACAGGCCCACGGGGAAGGGGGCAGCCCCCTACATCCTGAGAGTGCTCAGATTTTTCCTTCCTTCTTCAAGCTGAAAATCTGAGTCTGCCCACCATTTTCCAGTCTCCTTCCTTCCTTCCTTCCTTCCTTCCTTCCTTCCTTCCTTCCTTCCTTCCTTTGAACATGCATTATTTCTACCAAGACCGCCCCCCGCCCTGCCCCAAATGTTTTGCCAAATGTTGCACTGGAACTGGCCTGGAACGATGGCTTCTTCTCCAGGCCGAGCCAAAGACAAGCCAGCCCCCCCCCTCCATCTGGCACTGGGGGGGAGGTGGCTGTGCTTCGGGGGCTTTCCAGAAAAAAAGCTCAGAGGCAATCCGGCCACACAATGGCCATAGGGAGCAGAGCCGCTCTGGGGCTCCGGCGCTCGTCACCCGCTGTTGGAGGATGTGTGGGGGGCGGTGGAGGGAGACTCCCGCCGCTGCGTGGGGGTCCACAGAGAGCGCTCGGAGCCGTGGGAGGTGCCGTGGCCCCGGGGCAGGGCCCGGTGCTGGTGCTGCTGCTGCCAGATAGCTTGGCTGACGAGGCCGGGCAGCGCATGCAGGGTGAATCCCAACGTGTCAATTTTGCCCTCCAGCGCACTGATCCGCTTCTCCAGGTCTTCGTTGCGCTCCTGCAGTTCGGACACCACGTCGTACATGATGTTCTGGGTCTGCTGAGGAAGAGAAATGAGGTTACCCGCACATGGATAGACTGTGGCTAGACTGCTATGTTGCTTTCTTTGTGGGGCTGCCCTTATGAGCATACAGAGTCTCAAGGGTGGAGGGGGACGGGTGGAAGAGGGGGTAGTGGCTGCAGCTCACTTGCTAGACGGTGCACAGTCCTGTGACCACCACAGCACCCCCCCTCCTGCCAGCCACCTCTTCCCCCCCCTCAGGGTCCGCCCAACACCCTGGACGGACCTGAAATGTTTTGATGGCTGAGACATCCCTGCCCCACCTTCACCTATAGATTTCCCACAGATTGAAGAGCTGAATTGTTCAATCTGTCAAGTTCCTCAACACGATCCAATTTGAAAACAAATAGGAAGCCACACAACGCTACTAATAGGTTTTTAAGAAAAGATTGGACAACCATTTGTTTAAAATGGCCTGGGGTCTCCGGCTTGAGCAGGGGGTTGGGCTAAAAGACCTCCAAGGTCCCTTCCAACCCTATAATTCTGTTAAAAAAGCAGGGCAGGGCGTGCTTAAACCAAGAAAGCTGAGCAACACGCACTGAATGTTGGACAGATTGGGTGCTGCGACAAGGAACCCGGATTTGAAAATTAAGGTATCAGCGGCTAACACAGATGGCGGTAGGGAGGTGAGAGCGGGGTCCACGCCTGGGAACAACGATGGAAGTTGAGGGCAGTGAGAACAGAGAAGAAATGTGGGGGCCAGGGGGGCATCGGCAAAGCGTGGTCAAGAAATGTCAAGATGGCAAAGACAATGGTGGATCAAAATTCCACCTGGTTTTTCTTAAAAAAAACGTTGTTGCACGCGCAACACAAACAGGCAAGCTTTTCAAACTTGACTGTTACCGATTAAGGGAATGGGCTAAACTTTTGTGGTTTAGAAATGCCCCCCAAGACAAATATTTAGTAAAGTGAGTGAAGGCAAACGTGGGGGTCCCAGTGATTGACCCAGACTGGATTCCATAAAGCTGCTCTGGGCAAAGGTGGGAGGATTCGAATTCTTCTCCCGGCCCAGAGCCAAAGGGCTGTTTTCCGGACCCAGCACCGTCCCCTGTGGGAAAGTCCCTCTGGGGCGACCCAGTGACTTAGACGCGCAGCAGGGGGGAGCCCCCCCCACCCCCAGAATCCCCTCCTGCCTTTCCGGTTTCCCCACAGACCTTGGATAGATCCACCAGCATGTTGGCTTGATCGCTCAGCTTCCTTTGCTCCATCTTCACGCTTCTTAGCCTGGAAAGCAAAATCTGGGGTCACCCTCCCCTTCCTCTTCACGAGGACCCAGTGGCAAACTAGGTGGGGAGGGGGAGGCAGCGAGGAGCAGCTTCCCCCCTCCCCTGCAGGCAAACCCACCCAGTCCCCGGGTTCAGAGGCATGTCCTGGGAGGCACCCCACCTCCCTTGCCTCCGGAGAGGGCAGAGGGGGGGGGATAGCCACCCCTTCCCCAAAGCCCTTTTTCCCAGCTGCCTTTCTGCTTTGATCTTCCCTCATTTCGGCACCCTTTGGGGGTCCTTCCTTGACCCCCCCCCACCCCCCACAGGTCTCAGAAACCTGTAAAGCTTCTGAACGCGCAGCCCAAACTGCCGGGTGGTGCAGCCACACGACGGAAGAGTTGCTGGGCTGGGAAGAGGACTCTGCCCGAAGGTGGCCGTCCTGCCCACTCAGGACGCTGCCCACGAACCCACATTTAAAGGGGAAAAATAGGCCCACTCCAGCTTTCTCCTCTGGAGGACAGCCACAGGGGTAGCGGAGTCATCCCTGGCCCCAGTTCACCATTCAGAAACATGTTGCGAACAGCCCCCCACGCGTACCCCAGGCCCCCGCGGAGGTTCACCCAGGTGGCAGGAAATGCCACTTGACCCTGCCCTCAATGCCCCCGTTCAGCGCAGGGCATGGGGCTCTGTGGCAGAGCGCCAGGCTGGGTGGCAGAGCCCGGCGGTCCTTGCGAGGGTCAAGCCCTGCCAAGGCCAGCGATGGGGCTTCTCTGCCCGCCGAAGCCTTGCTGACCAGCCGCCCACAGCCCTGCACGACGGAGGGATTCCCTGCCCAACCCTCTGCCACCACCCGACTGGCACTGCCCTCCCTGACTCAGCCCCCCCTCGAGAAGCGCTAGAGGCAGCAGTTCCCAATTTGGGGGAACCACCACCCCCATTTCTGGACCATGCTGGGCGGGGCCAAGTTCCAACACCTGCCTTGAACAGGCGGGGCGGGGGGGGCATCGGATGGGCCAAATCCCACCTGCCTCCCTCTGGGCACAGCCAATCAGAGGCCTGGAGGTTCCAGGTGGTGACGAGGGGGGGGAGAGGCCCTCCCGGAGGGGTTCCCCGGGTCAATGGGGAGGAGGTGTGGCGGGGAAGGGGGGGGCAGGTGGGGTGGGGGGCGCAGGAAGCAGGTAAACAGGAGGACTTACTGATGGATGGCTTGGAGGAACTTACGCTGGTGTTTCCGCACCTTGGCCTGGTCGAGCTTTTTCACCAGCTTGGTGTGCTTGTAGATCAGCCACGTTTCCCTGAGCACGTTGGCCGCCGAGTTCTTCACCTGGGGAGGGTGGGGGGGCCCACAAAGTGAGAAGGGAAAGCCCCCCCTCCCCGCAAATGGGCAAGGGAGGAGAACCAAAACGGCCCCCGGAGAATCCTTTTCCTCTCTCGGTGCCCACCAATGCATGCCTTCGCCAGGGAGGGGGCTCTGAAGTCTTGAGGGGGGCTCCCTTCCCAAGGGATCCCAAGGGGGGCTTTGTGGAGAACCCCCCCCAAAAAAACCAGAAGTAGGGAGGAGCAAAAGATTCAACGTCTATGCCGAGAGACACGCAAAGGGGGTCTCCAGAAGGCAGCAAAGGGGCCAGCCTTGGGACCCCCAAGGAAAGACCCAGCAGTGGGGCGCCCCACAGTTGTGGACGATCCCACCGTCCAGGGTCAAAGTCAGGAGGGATCGGGAACGGATCCCAGTGGATCTCTCCCAGGGGAGACCGGGCTTCCAAAGGGTCAGTGTACTCAGCCTGGGCCAGGACGGAGGACCCCCCTCCCCTTCCTCGTGGTCTTACCCGCTTTGTTAATTGTGTGTCCATCATGAAGTTGTGGACGTGTTTCTCGGCTTTGGTGAGTTCCAGTTTCCGGGCCACAACGGCAACCACAAGCGCTGTACACCCTGCACCCTGAAACACAACAGAGTGAAAAGTCTCCTTTCCCCCTGGAGAGAGGCAAGAGCGGGGGACCCCCCCAACCCCTCCCCCCTTCTTGCTTAGAAGGCGCCTCGTCGTATCCTCGAGGGCTGTGTCCGTTTTGTTGCAGTTGTGTGGGTCGAGCCATTTGCCCTCTTGTTTAAAATCCCTTGCAAGGAAAAATCTAGCAGGTCAGGAAAACGGAACAGAATCCAGCAGAGCTGAAATTTCAGGCTGTAACGGAGCATGGGAGGGATTTTAAACGCCCTCCTCGACTTACGACCACAGCCGAGCCCAAAGTTTTGCCTGCAAAGCGAGACGTTTCTTCAGTGGGCTCTGCCCCATTTTATGACCTTTCCTGCCGGTTGTTAAGTGAATTCAGTTGGTAACACTTCTCTTGTCAGAAGGTCGCAAAAGCGGATTGCGTGACCCTGGGACTCTGCGACCGTCGGAAGTCAGCTGCCAAGCATCCGAATTTTGATCATGTGACCGTGAGGATGTCACAATGGTCATAAGTGTGAAAAACGGCCATGTCACCTTTTTCAATGTGTTGTAACTTTAAACGGTCACTAAATGAATGATCGTAAGTTAAGGACGGTCAGTATAGGGGGGGGAAAGGTAATCGGCAAAAAAATGTGTTGGAGGAAATTCAAATCCTGCTAAGGTTAGATTTCTATCTGCAGGGAGGTTTGAATTTCCTTGTAATCCACAGAAACCTTCAATGTGAAAACCAGTGCAGTGCCCTCTCCTCCCCCCCCACCCCCGTTAGGGGTCCTTCCAGCCTCTTTTGGGGTTCGGAGGGAAATTCTTGGGAGAAAAAAACCCAGGCTGGGGGGCTGCAGTGGGGCTGCAGAAGGCGGAGTGCCCCGTTTCAAAGTCTGGGTGAAAAAATCACATTTTTGAAAAACACCTCAGAAATAAACTGAAGCTGTCCTGCTGATGGTGATACACAAACTGTATACAAGTTTGCTCAAAAGTAAAATTTACTGCTCTTTGCACAACTGCTGTTGATCAGGCAGCGTCTTGCTCAAAGGGGCACTTTTTAAAAACCGGGGGCCACCTGGAAAGTTTGGGTTGGCCTAGATCAGGGGTAGGCAACCTTGGTTCTTTTATGACTGATGGACTTCAACTCCCAGAATTCCTGAGCCAGCCATGCTGAAGGGAAAGGGGGAGGTTTCCAAGCTGAGCCATGCTGGCTCAGGAATTCTGGGAGTTGAAGTCCACCAGTCATGAGGGGGCCATAGTTCCCCCATGATGGCTGAGGAATTCTGGGAGTTGAAGTCCACGAGTCATGAAGGGAGCCATAGTTCCCCCAGGCTGACTCAGGAATTCTGGGAGTTGAAGTCCACCAGTCATGAAGGGAGCCATAGTTCCCCCAGGCTGACTCAGGAATTCTGGGAGTTGAAGTCCACCAGTCATGAAGCAGCCTAGGCCTAAGCCAGAGGTAGGCAACCTTGGCTCTTTTATGTTTTGTGGACTTCAACTCCTGAGCCAGCCATGCTGAGAGGAAAGGGAGAGGTTTCCAAACTGAGCCATGCTGGCTGAGGAATTCTGGGAGTTGAAGTCCACCAGTCATAAAAGGGCCAAGTTGGAAGGCCCCTGGCCTAGCCCTATACCAGGGGTAGGCAACCTTGGCTCTTTTATGACTTGTGGACTTCAACTCCCAGAATTCCTGAGCCAGCCATGCTGAGGGGAAAGGGAGAGGTTTCCAAGCTGAGCCAGGCTGGCTGAGGAATTCTGGGAGTTGAAGTCTACCAGTCATGAAGGGGCCAAGGTTGCCTACCCCTGGCCTAGATGATCTTTTAGGGGTCCCTCCCATCCAGCCCGCCGGCCCCGGAGCCTTACCATGATCCCGGTGAGCAGGCAGACCCCTTTCCCGCAGTAGGTGTGGGGAACCATGTCCCCATATCCGATGGAGAGGAAGGTGATGGAGATCAGCCACATGGCGCCCAGGAAGTTGCTGGTCACGTCCTGCTTGTCGTGGTACCTGAGTGAGGGAGAGGTGGGGGGGGCGTCACACCTCATGCGCACACACACGCACACGCACACACACAAACACACATCGACAAACGGCCCAAGGTCTGCGGAAGGACGGAGATGCCCTGCCTGGTGCAGCTCACCCCCCCTGGGTGCGAGTCTTCGCCTCACCCTATGATCTGGGCATGCTGGCTGGGCATCATAGGTACTGGAGTCCAACCCGGCAGCAGGCCCAGATCTTCAAATAACAGAGCAACAGAGTTGGAAGGGACCTTGGAGTCCAACCCCCTGCTCAGGCAGGAAATCCTATACCCATTTCAGGCAAATGGCCGTCCAGTCTCTTCTTAAATGCCTCCAGTGAGGGAGCACCACAACTTCTGGTGGCAAGCTGTTCCACTGGTTAATTGTTCTAACTGTCAGGAAGTTTCTCCTTAGTTCTAGGTTGCTTCTCTCCTTGATGAGTTTCCACCCGTTGCTTCTTGTCTTGCCTTCAGGGGCTTTGGAGAATAGCTTGACTCCCTCTTCTTTGGGGCAGCCCCTGAGAGACTGGAATATGGCTGTCATATCCCCCCTCATCCTTCTCTTCATTAAACTAGACAGACCCAATTCCAGCAACCGTTCCTTATATGTTTTAGCCTCCAGTCCCCTAATCATCTTTGTTGCTCTTCTCTGCACTCTTTCTAGAGTCTCAGCATCTTTTTTACATCCTGGTGACCAAAACTGGACACAGAATTCCAGGTGTGGCCTTACCAGGGTGTTATAAAGTGGGACCGTCACTTCAGGGGACCTTGACAGACAAGGGAGCCCTTACAGAGACGGAGGCTCCTAAGGTTTCCCCACCCTGCCTGTGTGCCCGCTCCATTGCTGGGCACATTGGGACTTCCGCCTGGCCTCCCACCAGGGCTCCTACCTCTCGCAGACACGCACGGTCCAGGCGGCGATGATCCAGGAAGAGATGCTGAAGACCAGGAGGACGGTGCCCGGGCAGATGGTCATGAGGGTCTTCATGACGAAGCGGGTGTTGAAGTTGATCTTGTTCAGGGCGCCGATGCTGCGCGAAGAGGCGTCGGTGAAGAGCTTGCTGTGCAGCAGCATCACCCGGCCGATCAGGTAGAGGCGCAGGAACATGGGGATGGAGAGCGTGATGTCCACGTCGGTGCTGGCCTCCGAGGTGGCGTAGGTGAAGGCCAGCCGGGTGGTCCAGGTGAAGACGTACTGCCCGGGGATGGGGTGGACGGCGCAGACCAGCAGCTCCAGCGTGATGAAGGAGATGCGCTCACAGGTCATGGCGATGCGCCAGTCGTCCGCCCCGTTGTCCACCATGAACAGCTGGAGGGGGCAAAGGGGGGACGGTCAGGGGGGCCACTCAGCTCTGGGGGTCGAGCTCTGGAGAGCCGGCCTGGCAGCCCCCACCCCTGCCCGGGGCCCTTTCCCTGCTCTGACTTGCCAGGCTGCGGTGGGCAGGACGGGGAAAGGCTACGCAAATAGTCCTCGGTTTATGACAGCTCATTTAGTGACCGCTCAAAGCTACCTCAGCAGTGGAAAAAGGGACTTATGACTGTTATTCACAGTTACGACCATGGTCACCTGATCAGAATTCGGACGCTTGGCAACCGGCTCGCCTTTATGACGGCCGCAGTGTCCTGGGGGTCACGTGATCCCCTTTTGTGACCTTCTGAACCAGCAAAGTCAATGGGGGAAGCCGGATTCACTTAACAATGGTGGCAAGAAAGGCCTTAAAATGGGGCAAAAATAACTTAAGAAACGTCTCGCTTAGGAGCAGAAATTTGGGCCGTAAGCTGAGGACTGCCTATGCAGTGGGCAAGGGCAGTGAGCCGAAGTGGCCAGGGGCAAAAGGGAGGCCGGGGGCAGGCGAAGCCCGGGCAGCACCTTGACCCTGGGCCGCCCAGCCGCTGCCCCCCAGGGGGGCCAAGACAGAGGCTCAGATCCCAAGAGCTTAATTCAGAGCAGGTTGGGGCGCTTCCTGGTTGCAGTATTAGGGGGTTCACCCGCCCCAGCTGCCCCCCCCCACAGCAGAAACATCCCTGCCTGCCTGGCACCCACCTGGGCCAAGAGCTCGGAAGAGGGGGAGGGGCAGGCCTGCTGGACCGCCTGCCTCTTCCTGGACCCTCCCCTTCCCCCAATCCCCTCCCCATCCCGTAGCTGGACAGGCCCAGGTGCCCCGCCCTCTGCTCCTCCTACACCCCCCCAGGAGCGCCTTCAACCCAGGGAGACCCACTGATGCTGGGCTGCTGCATCTCCTCCCAGATCAGGGGGGGCAAGGGACCTTGGGGTGGGGCAGAGGGGCAGCCCCTGCCGCCCTCCCTCCCTCCCTCCGGGCACCTCACCTGGATCTCCCGGGCGTGGTACATGATGATCAGCCCCAGGAGGATGGCGGTGGAGAGGCTGATGAGGCATTTGAGGGCGAAGGAGTACGAGGAATCCTGGCAGAGGGGAAAGAGGGGGGGGAGGGTCAGGTAGGAAGGAAGGAAGCCCACCTGCCGCAGAGGGGTTCCTATGGGTGGCCCTGTCACACTTTGGGGGGAGGCAGGTGATGGGAAGGGGTTGGAGCCAAGGCAACATCCTGGCACTTGGGGGGTGACTTGAGCCGTTCCGGTGGGCTACAGCCCGAGGGAGACCCCATCAGATTTGCCATCGCTTGGCTGGCATCCTGCCGTAAAAGGGGGCAGGGAGGAGCCAGGGAAGGGGGGAGACAGGAGGAGGAGGGGGGCCAGCCCAGAACAGAGCCTGGCAGATCCAAGGACCCAAGCGTGAATGCCCACCAAAGGGGCGCCAAAGGTGAGGACAGTCACCAAGGGTCCCTCCCAATGTAAGAATTCAGAGGGTCCCTGATTCTCCTCTCGGGACGAGGGCCTGAGAGCCCAGCCCCGAATTATTAAGGCGACCCCCCCCCCAGCCTGAAGAACGGGGAATCCTGCCACTGGTCATCCCACCCAGCTGGGAAACCAGAGAAGGTGGAGGCATCTCGGCAGCTTCAGAGGGGCCACCTGGTTGGGCCTTTCGGCTGAAGGCTCTTGCCAACGACGTGGGCCCCCCACCAACCTCACCACAGATGGAGGCTTGTCAAGGAGAGAAACAACTTAGAACTGAGGTGGAATTTCCTGACAGCGAGAACGATTAATCAGTGGAACAGGAGTTGCCTTCAGAAGTCCTGGGGGCTCCAACGGTGGAAGTGTTTAAGAAGAAACCGGACGGCCCTTCGCCTGGATCGGTAGAGGGCAGAGGCGTCTAATCTTGGCAACTTTGAGATGTGTGGACTTCAATTCCCAGAATTCATTCCCCAGCCAGCCTCGCTAAGATGTCTGGACTGCTGGCAGTTGGTCCACACGTCTTAAAGTTGCCAAAGATGGACTCCCCTGCTATAGGGTCTCCTACTTGGGCAAGGGAGGGGGGGTAGACTAGAAGACCTCGAAGATCCCTTCCAACTCTGTCAGTCTGTATCTCAGCACCTTCTCGTTGAAACCTCTGAAAGGCTTCCAGCAGCTGTAAACGCTCCAACACTGGAAGTTTTTAAGAAGAGACTGGACTGTCTGAAATGGTATGGGGTTTCCTGCCTGAGCAGGGGGCTAGATTAGATGACCTCCAAGGTCCCTCCCAACTCTATTATTATTATTGTTATTAATCATCGCACAGTCAGCCAGATGTTCAGACTGGATTTGGCATTTTTGTCTGCCTATCGAGTCCTTCCCAAGGACCTGGGATAGGCAGATGTGGATGTTTGATATTATTACAGATCTCGTTGCAGGATGGAGGCAGTTCCTAGTAAGGCCGCCTTTTGCAATTGACTAATGGCGAATTTGTCAATGCCGATGATGGTGTCCAAGTGGTGCTCCAGCTGTTTTGGGATTGCACCCAAGGTGCCTATTACTATTGGTACTACCTTTGCTTGCTTTTGCCACAGTCTTTCTATTTCTATTTGTAGGTCTCTGTATTTTGTTATCTTCTCCAGTTCTTTCTCGTCTATTCTGCCGTCTCCAGGCACTGCCACGTCCACTATCCAGATATTATTAAGTATTATTATTATTATTATTATTATTATTGTTGTTGTTGTTGTTGTTGTTGTTGTTTGTTGTTGTTGTTGTTGTTGTTGTTATTAAGAATAGAACAGAACAATGAAAGGAATAGAATAGAATAGAATAGAAGAGAAGAGAAGAGAAGAGAAGAGAAGAGAAGAGAGCTGGAAGAGACCTCAGAGGTCTTCTAGTCCAGCCCCCTGCTCAAGCAGGGGAACCTATACCATTTCAAACAAGTGACTTCCAGTCTCTTCTTAAAAATCTCCAGTAATGGAGCGCCCACAACTTCTGGAGGCAAGCTGTTCCACTTGTTAATTGTCCTTACTGTTACGAAGTTTCTCAATAATAATAATAATTATATTATTATTATTAGTAGTAGTAGTAGTGGTAGTAGTAGTATTGCAAGGTGGGGGGGGGCCCAGAGCCCGTCCTCCCCAAGGGTCGGTGCCCCCGGGGCCACCCCGGCCGGAGCGCAGGCCTCACCTTGGAGTAGATGGCCCAGGACAGCTCCGTCTCCGTCACCATGACGACGATGCCGAACATGCCGAAGATGAGCGCGTAGTCGCTCAGCCGCTTGCGCTTCTCGAAGAGAGCCCGCCGGTGGCCCAGCCGGTGCCCGACGTTCTGGTTCCTCCTGTGGCGGGGGTCGCGCCCCACGGGCCCCTCTGCCCTGCCGTCCAGCTGGGGCTCCGAGCCCCCCTTGCCCGGCTCGGCCTTGGCCACCACCACCTCCAAGTCGGAGTCGGGGAAGGTCTGCAGGGGCTGCGTCTCGGCGTCCAGCTCGCCCAGGTGGCGGGGGGAGATGCCCAGGCGGCCCAGCGGTCGGATGGCCCCCCCGTTGTGCCGGCAGCTGTTCATGGCTATCTCCGTGAAGGGGCTGCACTCGGCGGACGGGCGCCCGGACCCCGCATGGCTCAGGGGGGGGCAATTCGCATTGACCTGGAAGGGGGGGAACAGAGGGAGAAAGACCCCGTCAGCACCCGTCGCTTGTCAGAAGGTCGCAAAAGGGGATCACGTGATCCAGGGACCCTGCGACCGTCACAAGTAGGAGCCCAGTTCCCCAGTGTCCGAAGGTTGATCACGTGACCGCAGGGAATGCTGCAACAGTTGTTGAGTGTGAAAAACAGCCATAAGTCACTTTTTTCAGTGCTGTTGTGACTTTGAGCGGTCACTAAACGAACAAGGACCACCTGTAACAGCCTGTGGGGAAGGCCGGGCCCCCCGCGTCCGGCCAGGTCAGCTCCAGTCGCCAGGATGTGTCCCTGGGCCCAGAGACCCCCCGTGGAGAGGGTGCCCCCCCACTCCAGTTGACGCCGCCCTGGGCACCTGAGACGCCCACCGAGTCCCGGGCTGGAGCCACCTTCGGGGGGGTGGGTGCCAGGACCCTCCCTTAGGGGATGGAGGCCCCCCTTCCTGGGAGGAACAGGCCTTCCCCAGTCCTGGGACCGGGAGAGCCCCCCCCCTCTGAACAGGGCTCCCGTCTCAGCAGAAACGCACTTCGTAGGCCGGGCTGGGAATGTCCAACTGGCCCCCTGCCCTGCAGAGCTTCCGTGCCCCCCACCCAGGGACATCACCAGCACTGGCCTTTCAGAGAAGGGCGGAGGGCTGCCTCCCCCCCCCCAGACCTAGACTCTACCTATGGACCCCAGAGAAGCCCTATGGACCTATGGACCCCAGAGAAGCCCCAAGCAGACACCCAGTGGCAGCCCACCAGCTCAACCTATCAAAATCAACCAGCCCCCCCCCCCCCCCCGTTATCACAGCCCAGCAGTCCAGGCCCTTGCTGCCAACCGGCCGCTCACGCTACCCACCCCGCAGGAACAGCCAATCTCTGCCAAGGGAGGACTCTGCCAGCACAGGACACACACCCCCGGCCTGACACAGAAGGAGGCGATACCAGGGGGCCTCCCCTCTCCCACAGTGATGGATGACCCCCACAGGGCACCGAAACGTCCCAACCAGCCCACAGCACTGCGACCAGCCAGCCTGCCAACCCCGAGCTGCACAGATTCGCCACCCGGGTGCCAGCAGGGCCTGGTCCAAGAAAGAGAAGGGGGCAGCCATGCCAGCGGGGTCCAAGCTGTTTTTGGTACAGGTAACTTGGCACTGGGTTAATTCTGTTGGTTCTTAACATGGGCATCTGCTATGTTTATTCTACCTCTCGACTGGCATGTAGCCAGACAGCGATATGGAGGACCCTGCGCAGAAGATCTCCCTCTCAGAGGAAGGCGGGCCCGGTCCCTCCTGGAAACTGCCAGGGAACCAGCCACGAGGGTCACAAAGGTGCATCTGAGCTACAGGCAACTTTGCCCACCCACCCACCCACCCAGCCCGCCCTTTGCCCTCCTCGCATCCTGCCCAGCTCCCCAAAACTGCCGGTGAGCATGAGTATGGCACCTCTTCCTCCCCTCCTGTTCCACAAATCTCACTTAACCCTCCCGGTTGGCACCTGGGTGCCACCTGAGCCTGGCACCCCTTGTGCCAGGCGGCACCTCCCTCCCCCCACCGTTGGGGCCTTCGTTCCGGCCCTCCTGGCGATGTTTCTCTGGCTGCAGGGCTCAAAGCCTTGGCACCCGGGCTGCCCTGCCAGGGAACCCAAATCCACACCTGGCTTTGAGGGTGTTTGGGCTACCCCAAAAAGCAGAGGGGGGGGGAGGGGAGGCAGGAGAAAGCCAGAATTCAGCTGGAATGCAAAACAAGCCAAGATGCTATGACAACCCCTCCCCCCCCCAGTCCTATCCTTAATTAGCCCTTCCCTCCTTTTGCAAAAATTCATTACGCAGTGTTTCTCAACCTTGACCATTTTGAGGCATGTGGACTTCAACTCCCAGAATTCCACAGCCAGCATTGCTGGCTGTGGAACTCTGGGAGTTGAAGTCCACATGGCTTAAAATGGTCAAGGTTGAGAAACAGTGCGAGGGTTAAAGTCTCCAGGGCCCCCGTGCAGGTTTACTGGCAAAACCTGAACCCAGAGCCTCCTGTGAGCAAACAATGGCAGGGTCCTCAGCATAAGCCCCCCTCCCCCCCTCCTCACTTTAGTAGGGTTTAGTGGAGTTCTTAGACTCCAGATGAACAAGGCACAGTGACCACCTTCATGCAATAGACTTATGTACCGCTTTACAGCCCTCTCTAAGCGGTTTACACTGAGTCAGCATATTTTCCCCCAGCAATCTGGGTCCTCATTTTACGACCTCGGAAAGATGGAATGACTGAGTCAAGCCTGGACCGGTCAGGATCGAACTCCTGGCAGTGAGCTGTGAGTTAGCCTGCAGTGCTGCATTCGAATCTCTGCGCCAACACAGCTCCTCCTGCAGTTAGGAGGCCCAAACCAGGAGGCAGATTAAGGCTCCCCACAATTGCCCCCACACCAGGCCCGGCCCCACCCCTCCTCCGCCCTCCCAGGGGATGACCTTGAAGGAGAGGGGGATCAGTTATCCAGGCAACAAGCACAACGTTGTAATTCGGGCTTCTGCAGGAGGTTTGGAAAACCTTCCCAGAAAAGACCCCTCCCCCAGTCACAGGAGTATAAGGGGGGAGGGGAGGAGGGGAGGGAGGAGGAGGAGAGTCAGACAGGGGAGATTTTGCTCCTGCAGCCATTTTTGCTATCGACCTCTTTTGCCTTCTTGGCCTGGTCTCCATCGTGGGACCTGCATCAACCTTGCCCACCTGATGTGGTCTGCCCCCTCCCCTTCTTATAGGCCTGGGAATTGGGGGGGGGGCTATCCATCTGAGAATCTGCATATACGTGTCCCCACTAGATGGGTGACCAATGAATGAATATAAATAAATGGAAAGGAAGGAAGGAAGGAAGGAAGGAAGGAATGGAGGGAGGGAGGGAGAAGGAAGGAAGGGAGGGGGAATGAAGGAAGGAAAGGAAGGAAGGAAGGAAGGAAGGAAGGAAGGAAGGAAGGAAGGAGGGAAGGAGGGAAGCTAAAGCAGTGCTGCTGTCCGGTTGGTGGAAAAGAATGCCCCTCCGGGCAGGGCCACATTCAGCCAGGGATCCTCCCAGACCATTGTCTGAAATGGTCTTCTGTCTGAGCAGGGGGTTGGACTAGAAGACCTCCAAGGTCCCTTCCAAGCCTATTCTTCTGTTATTGCCGGATGCTTCTCAAGGGTACTGGTGTGGGAAAGGAGGAAGGGAAGAGCCCCCCCCACCAGCAAAGGTCCTGCCAGGTGATCCAGGGCCGTGGGAGGGGGGCAGCAGTGGGAGGGGCGCCTAGTCTGGGCACCTGGGAATCCAAATAGGCCAGGGGTAGGCAACCTTGGCTCTTTTATGATTCGTGGACTTCAACTCCCAGAATTCCTGAGCCAGCCTGGCTCAGCTTGGAAACCTCTCCCTTTCCCCTCAGCATGGCTGGCTCAGGAATTCTGGGAGTTGAGGTCCACGAGTCATAAAAGAGCCAAGGTTGCCTACCCCTGGCCTAGGCCTAGGCTGCTTTATGACTGGTGGACTTCAACTCCCAGAATTCCTCAGCCAGCATGGGGGAACTATGGCCCCCTCATGACTCGTGGACTTCAACTCCCAGAATTCCTGAGCCAGCACGGCTCAGCTTGGAAACCTCTCCCTTTCCCCTCAGTGTGGCTGGCTCAGGAATTCTGGGAGTTGAAGTCCACGAGTCATAAAAGAGCCCAGGCTGCCCACCCCTGGCCTAGGCCTTCAGCTTGTGCCAGTCCCCAATCTGTGCCAGTCGCTCGAACTGAAGAGCAGCCCAGAAGAAAAGGAAGGGGTGCCTAGGAAAGAAGGTGGGGAGGGGGCTGGGGATGGCCCCTTGCCCAAGTGGGCCCCATATACACAACTCCGCAAAGTTCCCACCTTTCCCTCCATAGTGCTGGAGCTGGCGGGGGGGGGAAGAAGGGGAGAGCCTGCCTGGGCCTCCCACCCCACCTGGCTGCCAGTAAAGGTTGTGAGGAGGGTCCACTGGGGATCGCTGGGCCAAAGAAGGGGGCACTGGTGGGGCAGAGGAAATTGGGAGCACAGGCTCTCCCCCCCGCCCCCAGGGACAAAGGCCTTCCTTACCTTGAGGAGGGGGCGGGCAGAGGATAGACGGGGAGCATCGACCAGCCAGGTAGCCAATCAAAAAGGGTTCCCCCCTCCCCTCAGAGGGGGGGTCCCGGGGCATCCTGGCTGGGGGGGGCTCTGAACCCCACCCGCCCATCCCAGGGGCAGCCCTGGGCACCTCCCTCCAGGCCAGGGCTGTGAAAGGGGGCAGCTCACTCTGGACACCCCAGAAAACCACCACTGGCCTCAACCGGCTCTCAACAGACCACGATGGCTGGGAACGCTGGACATCGTAGTCCGCCAAGCCGGGGAAGATGATCGCTTCCGAAAATGCGCCACAGAGGCCTCGGGCCCTCTTCTGCAACCAGACCACCCGACGCTCCTCTGCCCAGCGGCCTGGATTTCGGCCCCAGGCCTGCCTCCCCCCCCCATGCTCCCCACCCCCGGGACCTGGGCAAAGCAGGGCGAAGGTGAGAGACAAGCAGCGCTGCCTGTGCTGGGCAGAGGGTCCGGCTCTCCCGCTGCTCTGGGTCTGGGGTCCGTTCCAGCAGGGTGCAGGGAGCCCCCCCCCCCGCCCGGGGCCTCTGGGGCAACTGGCTTGCTTGCAACCCAGCCCGGGGGGGGGGTT